CAATTTTTATGATAGTCTAAGACTTGTTTTATGTGCTGTTTCAGTCTCATAAGAGTGTTTTACATAAATACCTTCAATATTTATAAAAATGCAATTAAGCTTTGGAGAGTAAAATTGTCACTAAGTTTTGTAATAAGTATAATAATGAGGTTTGTTATTGAACTATACTTGTACTAGCAGATTGGTGGATTATAAACTTTTGCCCCATCAAGAAAATCCCAAAGTTTTTAATTAATTAAAAGCAACTTCTTTTTTTTTTTTATCCTCTAACCCCTTCCCACGTCCTTTCCACCCCCAACTACCAGTCACACGATTAAAACTCTGAATTTGATGGCAGAGAAGATTCTAAAAGTCCTTACCTAATAGTAAAATATTACTATTAAAACTCAATTTGATTACATCCTTATTATTTGAAAATATAAGAAAGTAAAAAAAATACTTGTAGTAAAGATATTCTAGTAAAAAAAAAAAACTAAATCACTAAATCATATCAGTGCTTTTAATGTAATATAAGATATAAACAGATCAAGTGACTTAATTAATGGGTTCCATTTGTAAGAAGGCTGGAAAAAGACTAGTTCAAATGACCTATGCCGTTTCAAATATTATTGCATGAAGTACATTTGTTTCCTGCAGCAGTCGGCAACGAAGGGACCGCTACCCTCCCAAAACTTTTGAAAATCCTATTTTGACACATGCTTATTTATAACAAGCTAATAACATCTCCCTGTCTTGCCGCATCCCCCAAATGTAATTAACAGTAATATTTTATGCCCCTTTTCTACTTAACTTTCACATAATATACTAATATTTAGTTTCCTAAATAAAATAGTATATCAACTGAATTACGGTATCACTTAAAAATGATGTAAAATATAAAAAAGAAAATACAATCAACATAAAAAATTCAAAATGTCATGGTAAGTCATTGTAACAAACACCACTCACAAAAATATTACAAACACAAAAAGTCAGAGCGTCTTGTTTTCAACGTTAATTATCAATCTCCATACTCCAATTTTAAGTACTCTAAGGTAAGTACTATTGTTAAGATTTTTTTCCCTCAGAAATTCCCCTATTATATTTTTAATATTCAGTAATTCTTTATTTAAATAATTATTCTTAATCATTGATTATTCTTCCTAACATCCAACTTTAAAGCAATCTATAAGTAATTTTTTTTTTAAAAAATGTTATCTTACTTTAATATCAAATCATGTAATATCCTTGAATTCTAAGATAATTTTTGTAGAAATAAATTCAATCATTACTTTCACTACAGTGAGTGATAATAAAGTAACATTTTTCATCGTACAACACTCGTATTGATGAAGAATAGAATCAGAGTAAGTTTTATTTTAATTATTTTGTTTTAGATCTGTCGTTGCACTAAAATACTAGTTATAATATTTTGAATTTGAAAGCTCTCATAAATGTTATTTTATGTGAATAGTACATGGCAATGACGTGATGCCGAGGGTAGAAATCGTCAGCTTCTTGTCACATAACCCAGAATATCGTGCTGCAGCACGGCAATAAAAGGGGTCGCTACTCGGTGTATTTTTCTTCAGCGCACTTATATAAGGTCTGTTTGGAACCTGAAGTGTTTTGGGAGTTTATCTAAACCTTTACTGTAGTGCACTGTAGAAGTTTTTGAAAAATTTTTGTAGAAGCTTTTGTAAAGTGAAAAACTTTTTTATAGAAGTTTTTGTAATGTGAAAAATTTTGTAGAAGTTTTTGTGAGGTGAAATTTTTTTTTCCTTTTCTCTTTTTCTTTCTTTTTCTCTTTCTCTTTCTTTCTTTCCTTTTTCTTTTCTTTCCTCTCTTCTTCTTCTTCTTCTTCCTTCCCCCTCCCCCTTCCCCGTTACCTCTGTCTCCCACCTCCAGCACCACCTCTCTTTTTTTTTTTCCTTTTCTCCTCTCCCCCCCCCCCCCCCCCCCCCCCCCACCCCTTCCTCCCCCCCCCGCACCCCCTCCCACTCCCTTCCCCGTTCCTCCCCTCTGCCTGCCACTCCCTTGGACCGCCACCCCTCCCACTCCCTCCCCTGCCACCCCCCTATGTCCACCATCCCTTTCCTCCCCTCTCCCCCGCCACCCTCTCTGCCCCTTCCCCCTCCCCTGTTCCCCTTCTCGCTTCTCATCTTCCCTCTGCCCTTTCTTTTTTTCACATTTTCCCACTCCCTCTTCTTCCGTCTCCTCTCCTTGCTCTTGTCGGCAGATGAAGCAGCGAAATGAAATTTTTTTTTGGGCAATTTTCCTTCTCTCCCCTCCTCCCCTCCTCACCTTCCCCTGCCACCCTCACCCTCCCCCGTGCGATCTGGTCTAGCGACCAGATCGACCAGAGGGGAAGGGGAAGGGTGGTGGGGGAGGAGTGGGGCAGACGCAGAGAGAAAAAAAAAGACCGAGGGCAGGATGGCAGGGGAGGAAGAGGGGGAGAGGGCAAAAGGGCAAAAAAAAAAAGAAGACCGGCATTGGAAGAGGTGATCGGCGCCGAAACCGGCGGCGGAGGTGGTGGCCGGCGACGAAGGTGGTGGTGGGTTGGGGTGGGGGAGGAAGAAGAAGAAGAGAAGGAGAAGGGAATTTTTTTTTTTTTTTTTTGTATTTTGAATATTTTAAGTGTGTAGGTAAAAAACTTTGAGAAGTTTTTTGGGGTTCCTGTAGCAAAAGTTGTTAAAAAACTAGTAGGTAAAAAACTTGTCCAAAAACCTAGCTTCCAAATAGGCCCATAGTTTCGACTCAATTTTCCTCAATGCGCAGGACCATGTAGCTTTAAGATCCACTTGTTAAAAAGCGCATTAGCTCTCCAGTATAAATGGTTAAAAGGTTTATCAAACAGGTGTTAAATGAACACTCGTTTAGATATATTTCAAGTATCGTATTTTTAAAAATATAAGATTAATTAGAAAAAGTAAATAAATACAAGAAAAAATATGTAAGATTATATTGAAAAAGTATACAAATATAAAAAAAGATAGTAATTTTTGATATGTGTATATATATGATAAGTTTAGGAATGGTAATAAGGCGGGAAACCCCTTCCCTGCCCCCGACCCCGTTGCCCATTAATTCTCCCCACCCTCGCCCCGCCCCGCTTCCCTCGCAGGTGATCCCCGGGGCTAATAAAAATTTGTCATATAATTTTATTATAGTCAAATTTTAACAAATAATCAAGTACTAAAATATCAATACATTACCAAATTATTATCCATTGTACTTTCACAATTGAAACCCATAAAAACTATCAAATAAAAGTTATTTGAATACAATCCCACGTGATGAAACAAATACAACTAAAGTAGTCAAGTTTTCACTTTTGACACAAATTCAATTACTAAGTCATTATTGTATTTTGAGAAAAAGTGTTATTGTGTTCAATGTAATTAGGAATTTTGTATAAATGTATTAGTAAATTTAGTATAACTAATTAATAATTTCTATTAGTAGATATGTATAATTATTAGTATAATTGATAATATCAATTATATTACATATACTAATATCCATTATCTAATACATATAACTAATAATATCATTATTATAAATTTGTAACTAATTAAATTAAATATTATATATGTATATATAATTATATACATACACACACCAAATATATATATATATATATTTATTTATTTATTAATTTTTTTTAATGGGTGACAGGGTGCGGGATAGAGCGGGCGTATACTCCCCCACCTCGTCCCACCACCCGCCCCAACCCTCCCCTCGTTAGTGCCCCAATTGCCATCCCTAGATAGGTTAGTATGTATATATACAAGTTAATCAATCTATTCAACAGTTCTTTAACATACATTACTACTTATATATTTGAATTATTCTCTCCAAGGAGAAGTAGTGACTAATCATCCGATGCTTTCCCCGAGGATAAATTGTTATTTGATTTGTGCTAAGTATTTAGACACACTTACCCCAAGGTCGATTCAACCAAATCAGTATTTCTTCAAGGAAATTGAAAATTACAGCTCCAGAAAGACCAAGAACTCTAGTCATTACACATTGGCAGCTCATCAGTCATTTTGAAACTAGCTCATTTTTAGGCTAACATGTTGCATTTTTTTTCCCTTAAAATGAATATCTAGGAAACAAAATCAGAATGCTAGTAAAGCAGGTTAATACTCTGAACGCTACATGGAAGCAAAGCACAACTCTACCAGCACTTCCCCACCCCAGTAAAAATACAGATGCAACTACAACAAAATTCTTGCTGATCTTGCCATAAGAAAGACGTCTGTGCACCACCAAAGAATACAGCCATCTACGGACAAGAAGCAAGGTTCTTACTGTGACAATGGGAAATTAACATGAGGAGCCAGAAAGGGATTATTATCAACTGAATATGAACTGAGAACTCGCTGGCTTGGTAAAACTTCTGATGTTATGTATAAAATTAGAAAGGGTAAACAACAAAAAAATCCCCGATGGTATAACTATCTTAAAGAAAAGCCCCCTATGGTTTCAAATCATATGTATTGGTACCTCATTGTTTGAGGTAATTTAAACATTGACAGAAATCGTTAAAACAAACAGTTTTGAGTGAAATGACAAAAATACCCTAATAATACAAGCAAAAAATAGCCTAAAACAAACGGTTTTGATTCATGTGTTGGTACCTTATTGTTTGAAATAATTTAAACATTGACGGAAATCGTTAAAACAAACGGTTTTGAGTGAAATGACAAAAATAGCCTAATAATATAAGCAAAAAATAGCCTAAAACAAACGATTTTGATTCATTAGTTTCATTCACTAATAATATAAGCAAAAAATGTTGATTTCTACAAGTTTGAAGCAAATTGAAAAAGAATCATGGTTGTTTTAATAAGGTATAAGGGACAAAATAGGCATTTCATGTCAAAATTTGCCTCAAAAAACTATTTTTTGGAAGAACCACGCGCATTTCCAACACATTTACATCGCACGTATTAAATTTAACAATTTCCATTGATTTTTCACTTTACTTCAAACTATGAGGTACCGATGTGTATGATTTGAAATCACAGGAGGCTTTTCTATAATATAGCTATACTACAGGGGACTTTTTTGTTATTTACCCAATCAGAAATGAGTTCCTAGCACTTTTGGACAAAAATTCAACAAAATGTAAGGTACAATAACTAAGAATCCAAGTTACATCCATTTAATCCTTTTGACCTAATTTACATCCAAATATCACAACAACCTCTCTATCCCAACAAATCTGATTTGATTCTCGCCCATGTTGGTGCCATGAAACACAAGTTTAGAATTCAATGCTCATCATGAACCACCCATGGGAATATCCTTGCTGTTTTGATCAGGAGGGTGGGTATCAAAACAACTTGCAGAAGTACTTTGCTGAGCCTGGCCAGCTCCAAAAATGAACTCCTGAGGTGGGATGTCATAAGCTGGGCGGGCAAGAACAGACGAAGCACCGGCCTTACCGAAAGCAGGAGCAAGAACTGGATTATTTGGCTTTGGAAAACCAAAGCTAAAAGATGGCACACCTGGACTGAGGGTAGGCCACATTGCGCTGCAATTATCAACTGAGCCAAAAATCTTCTGCTCAAACTCCAGTAGTTGTTGGTAGACAGCTACAAATTACGGAAATAGGAGATCAGAAGCTTATTCAACCTGAGAAAACAGCAATAATTCCAGCAGGACAACTCTAACATCTAAGGATAATAGGTGTCTGGAGATAATAACATGCAAATACAACAGAAACAGGATAACAACTTTGGACAGAACAAAGATACGAACAATTGTAGCATAGTTATGATAGGATCCTCTGACTATAACATCCTAGATGACAAAAGTTTTGCTAGGTAAATTATTTATTGCTTCAAGCCTCTATTCCCTCATGCAAGAAATATCTGAGATCCAACTGTTCACTTGCATAGACATTTTCAATTCAGTCCTTTAATCTCCCCCCCCCCCCCCTCTCTCCCAAAAAAAAAAAAAAACCAATTCAATTCTCAGAATTTGAACTTTTTTCTTGGGGTTGTGGTGGATAAAGATCAGGGGCTTTTCCCAAGTATCATGTGCAGATACACAGATACTTCAGCCGCTTTATAGTACATACTGAAAAAGACAGACATTCAGTTGAAAGAATCACATACCTACAGCCAAGATTAGACTATTTTCAACTTTACAAGTAGAAGTTCCACGAGCAAAAGTACGTAAAATGATAAACCTTGAGTTATGTCAACTGAAGCTCTCCGTTCCTTCACCCACTGATAACTCTGTGCTAATCTCCATCCTTTGCTTTTCATCAAGTAAGCTATTACAATAGCTGGCGACCTGCAAAAGGAGCATAATTATAAATCAAAAGTTCCAGCCAACAAAAGATTGTAAAAGTAATAATCATTTACTAAAACTCTCAGGCAAAGAAGTAGAAACCGTCATTAGCAGCCTGCAAAACTGTACAATATCTTTTTATTTTAATTAAGCCCATTCAAGGATCTTCAAAATGAAAATCAGGGAGCCTTTCTAGCAGACTGTATAAACCCAGATGTCCAGAAGAAATCTAGTTAACCTAACCTACCTGTTTTTTCCAGACATGCAGTGTACAAGAACACGAGCATTTTCCTTTTCACATTTTTCTGCACATGTAACAAGTATGTCAGATATGCAAAACCAGGAAAAATAAATACAAAAAATAGAATGATGCAATTGCACACATCCATCATAACAGAGGCATTGAAAATGTATAAAAAGATATTTACCATTGCTTGACAGTAGCATACCTACACCATCCACATCAAAACTACTGAGTTTAAAATAATTAATGCCACAAACCCATCTAAAAAGGCATAGTAAATTATTTGCTCAAAATGTTAAAAAAGTTGCCTGATTTCATTCAAAAGCATATGATGATCGCCTTATGACGTGGTAAAATTTTCTGTACAGGTTTTTTAGTAAACCAAAATTTCTATCTATAGATTCAAACATCACAGTTGCATTCATGGAATTTTTGAAGCACAAAAAATCCTGTAATAGGTAAGAAACTACATATATGATAGCAAGGATATACACTGTACTGTAACGTGAACCCATCCACTGTAAACTTTACACCTTAACTCAGAACCATGCAGCCAAGTTGCCATCACTGGCTACTTATTATTATGTTGGTTAACCATAACATTGCCGCCTCGGCTAAATGAATAAATCAATGACAACTTAACCTAAACAAATATTTGTGTGCACATAGGCATACACATGTTAATAAATACATATCTACAAACAATCAATTCCAGGTTGTTCACTTTAATTATCAGTTCCCAGGCCAAGGAAGGGAATCATTTTACAAACCCAATTAAAACTCAACACCACAATCAAATTCTCAAACTCTCAAGCGCCTTCATGCAGCATTAATTACCCCAAAAAAAACACACACACAATCTTCGAATTGTTCCTGTCAAAGTTTTTGCTCAACACCAATGGAAGCTCTTCATATGCTCCATATTCACATCAGAAAAGAACATGCAAGTTTCCGACACAAATTCCGTTACTTGACTTCCTACATAAATATCAACTCAGCCAAAGATACATATCTACTGTATCACACAACACTCTAGGGAGGGAGAAAGGATTAATTAAGAACCACAATAATGTAAAGTGCAGACCAAATGTCCAAACATTTTTAACTACTTAAAACAATTTCATTAAATCCAACTCCAAGTCCGCAATTTTACAGCCAGAAGTAATTAGCAAAGCAGCAAGGGAAAATATATGATACCAGCTAGATGAACTAGTACAAAGCGCACTTAAAATAAATAAGGCTAGAATCTCATATAGTAATGCCATCTTTTTCCCCCTTTTTTTTTTTTTTCAAAGCAACTGAAACCAGGCAATCCCAGGGAAATCTGAGGAAATTCCACAATCTCTTCCTGCACTCGTGGTGGTGTTTTTAGATTTAATTTCATCAGATTAATCCAGGAAAAATTGACAGCTCAAAACCCAGGTCTTTAATAACCTCAATTCCAGGGAGAGGAACTGTACAGACAGTATCTCAGATTTCAAGAAGACACACAAAAGCTACATTTTAGATGCTGTTCATAATAAATGGGCAAGACTATAAAATCCTTGATCCTAATAAATACAGTTAAGCTAAATGGTTGCCGCCAATCTAGATAAAGAAACAGAGATCACCATGGCAGTGAATGAAACTTAGTCCCCTCATTTCGTAGCGCTTAGTTCTCTCACCATTTTAAGTGATTTAAAAGAAGCACAACAACATATGTGTAACATGTAAATGCAGATACTGAAGAGAGAATGCCATTTATTTGCTCCTTAAAAGGAGAACTTTGAAATGGAAGAAGAATGCTTCCATTCATCCAATTTTCTTATTTCTCATCTAGTGAATTCCAGCTTAAAGTAGGACCGTGTGTTTTTTAACATTAATTTGTAATCTGACAATAACGTTTTCATAAGAAGAGCCCTGGATACTCACCTAAGAATTGAATTGCATCCTCGAAGGGCAAATTTTGGTTGTCTGGAAGGCAATGATATGTAAAAGAATTCTTGTATAAATTTTGACAAGCAGGTACAGTCTGCACATGGAACAGAATACATGAGCATACCAAAGAAGGAAAAAAAAAGAGGGAAGAAATGCAGGATTATATCATCAAACTCTTTAACCAGTTCACTAATGATGGAAGGCTAATATTGTTACCTACGATATTTAAAGATACAACAGACCACCAAGAACATTATGAACATATAAAAATAGAATACAAACAGCTCGTAGTGCGACATATAAGGGAAGATAGAGGCAGACCACCAGAATATCTATTAGATTGAAATCCATGATAAGGATTCCACTAAAAAAATTTCTATGCTAATATCTCATGAAAATAACATGAGTTTCAATTGGCAAGGGCACTATAAGAAATCAAAAGTACACTGTTTGACACTATGTTACTCCCTTTGTTTTATCCCAACAAGCCCTCTCGACATGACATGACAGTAATAATGGTATGGGATCCATATGGGACACTTTAAAAGTTTTTTGGGTACTTTGACTTTCTTGTCTGGTGTATGTTGATAGTGGAGGCGGAGGAGGAGGAGAAATGGAAAGCGAAGTGGAAAACTTTAGGACTTTCAGATTAGAAAGAAAGATGATCAGGTGAAAAAGAAGATGAAAAGTAGAAAGAAGTGGAGAACTGTGACCTATCTTAAATTCTAAATTTCCCTTGCATATTTGAAATCTCAAAAATTCCAAGGAAAAAAATCCCTGTTCGATAATAAATAAACAACAATCCATATACATAATTTGTATATTTGCTAGAATCTTCCCTGTACCCGCATACCAGTATGTGACCCCTTAGAAGTGTCACCATATCCTAATTTTATATAATTGACAAACTAGACACTTAGACACGTACCCGTATCCGGCTCCCATACCCAAGTCCGAGTACCATAGGTTCAACAAATTACTTGTGTGCTAGACAGACATTCGTAGAAGAAAACCACTAAAAGTATGCTTTAACACTAAGCTAGTGTATCTGCTGTCAAGGACACTTTTACAGTCTCATAGTTCTTAGCCCCATATTTTCCTTTTATAATGCAAGTTTAATGTAAAAGTGGACATCCTACCAGAGCTAGGCTCTTGGACTGGGGACACTTTAATGATGCATCTTGTATTATTTCTAAAAGGAATATGGATACTACTAACTATCTGTTTTCTGACTTCCCTTTTTCTTTTGCAATGTGGAGACAGGTGATGAGCCTTGATTCTACATATCGGGCTTACTTTTGGTCCTCCTCTCAATCACCACAATCTGTTTAATTTTGGATCGCCATCCTTAGGCGATCAAACAATGCTCACCACCTTTAGAGAGTAAGGTATCATTGACAGTACAATAACATCACTTCATCTTTTACCATGGTTCTTGACAGAATTATTCATGATATGAGACTTGCTGCTGTTAGCTGGAGAGGTGTTAAGAAGTATAGGGAAAATTGTCAGTTCTGTACTCCATGGAATTTTGACTAATGAATTTGTTTGCCAAACCAGGTTGAAGTACAGTCCAATATGTACTTAATCTTGTTTCTTATAAATACACTTGTTAAAGCTGTAGCATTAGAATTAGAAAAATTACCTAAAAACAAAGTAATCAAGTGAAATACTAAACTACAATTATGTGCTCCTTTTGAAATAGTTAAGTTATAAGAAGTATTCTTCCACTACCACAGCAAGTAGTCGGCTTCCAACCATATCAATCTAGGTTTAAACATAATGCTTTAAATATGTAGGACCACCTTAGAAGTTAAATATAACTAGATCACTCATTCTTTTTCCAAAAAAAAAAAAAAGGAACACAGTCCACGTCCATGGACATGTTCCTGAACTAACTAATCTAGCAGATGAACAGTCATCCACTAAACGTTGAGCTTCACTTTCCTTCTTTTCACCTTCAGTATCTTTCTTTTTCCCGTCTATATTTAAGGAGATGGTGGTTTGCATGGTGGTTTCCCGTCTGTCTTTAAGGAGATGGTGGTTTGTATGGTGGTAGGAATAACCTTCTTTTTCATATTTGCAGTTTAATTAGAAATTTTACTCGACTCTTGGAACTTTCTATGCACAACTGAAGAAACAAGCTACGAACCACTTGTATGTTTTCCTTTATCAAAGAATCTGAAAATCAATCTACAGAGCACTTGCATGTTTTCCTTTAACAAAGCTTTCGAATTCATTCTCTACCTCTTCTTCCAGGATAAATGACCAGTATCCCAAGCTTCTCCAGGCAAGTTTTTTCAGACCATGACGCTTCTCCTTTTATTTATTCTCCAGAAGGCCCTTTTATTTGTCTCCATTCTTCACATCCTTCTATGATTCCAACCATTCCAATCATGTACCATTTTTCAAATGCATTTTCAAAAATAATTTGTATGTCGGAGCATTTTAAAAAAATGATAATAAGAGAACTAAAAGCCTTTAGGAATCGCTATCTTACAGTATTTTTATTATTTATCTTAATTTATTATATATTCTAATTGATGCTTAAGTCACATGTCACCCATTAATAGTAAAAGTGAAAGGCAAGTTGTGAGGAGAAGGCAGTGGGGGAAATGGTTGAGAAGACGAGCAAGCAGTTATATGGGGCAGTGTAGCGTTGATGTAGCAAGTAATCAGTCAACTTGATCACAGATTTCGTTGTTACCATGTCCTTCATCTCCTTGTCTAACTGCTTGTGCACTTTTTTGTTATACTTGCATGAGATTTCATGTATTTCTGTCAGACCAAGTACAGACATTATATGAAAAGATCCCATTTTAGCACTCACATGACCACCAATGTATCAAACCTTTCAAAAACCAAACTTTTTACAACCTCATCTGCATGATGCTGTCACACTATCACAAAATTATTGTCAATGCCAAAAGCGGAAACTCTGATTTCCAATTTCTACTCCCCAACCAGCAAATAAGAGTCATTGTAGAAGCTGGTCCACCAGTTGTTAACAACGCTTACAAACTGGATCTTGTACAAACATGCGCAGGTAACATCACCATCAGATGTTCAAGGTAAGGACAATATGCCTCACTTACCACCTCATAACACCTCTCTCAGAGAATTCCACATATAGGCCCTAAAAACAATTTTTGGAACTATAGAATTGGAAAGAAAGAAAAGGTGGAGCACTATATCTATCGATTAACCTATGAATAATTGTTGCACTCTCCAGAAGTGAAGGGCTTTAGGGGATGGAGGAAACATAGAACCTCACCAAATACATATCAGATGTAATTCTTTTATTCAAATACTCAGCCAAAGCAGTCCCTTGCAGTAAATGAGTTGCAGCTAATTATGTTTGTGCAAGCATTTAGAAGATTGTCTATTTTTCTTCCCGTAAGTTTCAGCTCTAAAATAAACTTTAATGGATGCTGCAAGGAGTAGGTTGTAAGCACAAGCACGTGTCAGGCAGGACAAGAAGCAATCCAAGTTTTCCTACATTGTCAATATTGGATCTGAAATATGGTACTAATTCAGAAGCTACCATTATATGCTCCAAACAATTATGGAACCCCAACACAACATTACCCTTGATATTTTACCTCTAGTGTCAGATACTAAGTAAAATCTTTCATGGAATTGTGGAATAAAGAACATTTAGCTGTATTAGACCAAAAAATTTAGCACCAAAATTACATTATATGCATTCTGGTTACGGATCAAGAACATACCTAAACTTCTGACAAACTAAGGTTCGGTTCAAGTTCATTGAGACGATATCTTACAAGATCTCAACAGAGGTTAATACTGTGTAAATCTTGCATCTTACTGTATCTAAACCGATATCTAAGCCCATTAAACATGAATTTGAAATACTTCACCCCAAGTATCCAATTGAAGAGCTATAAAAAGAATCAATTCAATACATTTCTTATGTACCCATAGGTACTAGATTGTATTTGAATCAGATTTCGGCAAAGTATTCAATTGAATCAGATTGTATTCAATAACCTAGCCTCCCCCGCCCCCACAGGTATAAACACACTAGATTAGGGGCAGAACGGACAGTAATGTGCTGAATCACATGCTCACTGACCTAAACAAAGATTCAGCATTGATTTCCACAGTTGCAACATAATTCGGCAAAGTCCTTATCATAGTAAATCAATCAGCATTTATTGAAAACTTCAGATTACATGTGGCAGGAAAAAAAAAATATTGAGCAAGGACATTGATTGTCGATGGCTTCTTCTTAGAACAAACTGAAATTTTACAAATCCAACTAGGAGATTGGTAACAAACAAAATTGCAGTTGTCACTGATGCCGCAAAGAAATCATCTTTATCCTTTTACATGATATCAGTGGATCTTTCTTCTCATCTTTCCTCCAAATACATTAAATCTTTTTATAAAGTTTCAACAAAATCATGACCAGTGATAGTGGCACGCATGCCACAACCTGATTGCCTAACCCTAATCTTTTGACTTCCAATGCAGAGACTGCAATAAAAGCCACGTCTCAAATTTCCCAATTCAAGTCGCAAACCGAAAGGGACAAACACACTTGACTGCAATATCACCATTTCACATTAAAAAGACAAATCCCCAAAATCAAATCAAGTATAAACTATAAAGAAAACACTATCACAACCATCAAACAAAGTACAAGCACTCAAGTAGATCGTGCACCAATCAAGCTCCAATCAAGGCACAACAAGGCAAAATTCTTTCATCAAAATAAAAAAGACAGAGTTCATCAACTGACATTGAGAATACGAGAAATCCCTTGAGTCTTGAGAAGCTCGGCCCTGGACGCGTTGTCGTAGCTACCCAAGTAGAGAAACTCCGGCAGGATCTCGGAAGGGAAAGCACTGACTTGGAAGGAGGAAGACTTCTCGGCAACGGCGGGCATCCGGTGACCACAAACGCCGCAGACTTCGCCTTCCTCGTACTTGTGGTAATGCCCACAAACCGCACATGGATTCTCTCGCTCTCTCTTCCTCATATTCGTATCAATTTCTTCTCTTTTACTTCTAATTTCTGTTGTTTCACTCCGCTTTATAGGATTCGACTACTGATCGATTGAATTAGGGCGAGAGAAGAAAACCTCACAGAGGGCTTAATTTGATTTGGGGGAATGGGGATTTGGGAATTGGGATCGGTTCTTATATAGCTAACGGTTTGAGAGTGGCCCGAGAGGGTGAGGAAGATCATAAATCCGTAATAATACTCCAATAGTTAATAGCGATCCCATCCTAGAAGTACTACGTGATGTCAGGCTATGGGCTAGATTATTGGAATCCTCCCCTAATTTTTTTTTGAATCTCAATGTAGTCCTTGAATATTTTCTATAGAAGCTCTTCCATTGGGAAATTATTTTGTGTTTGTGTTTTTGGTGCTTTTGTATTAGGTGTTTTTGAAAAAATTCATTATAACATTTTATTTTAAAAACTTTGCACGGTAAAAGGTCCGTACAAATTAAATGTTTTCAAGATCTATTTCAGAGTATTTTTAAAATTTAAATGTTATTGAATATTTTTTAAATTTTGTTAATTTTTCAACGCTGTCGACCACCACCACTGCTCCTCCCTCTTCCTCTTCCTCTTCCTCCCCCTCATTCATCCCTCTTCCTCTTCTTCCCATCCTTCCTTCTTCTCCCTCCTCCCCCTCCTCTTCCCTCCCTTTTCCTTTCCTTTGCAACCAACCTTTCCCCCCCTCTCCTTTTTTTAGTCATGTTGGCCAATCAGAAAGGGGAGAGAGGAGAGGTGAGTTGTGGGGAAAGGGAATGGAGGAGATAAGAGAAGAGGAAGAGAGAGGAAAGGGGAGAATGAAAGGTTGATGGTGGCGGTGGTGGAGGAGGCATGAGCAATAGTGGGTTTTATTTTTTGGCCAATCAATTTAGCAAAATTTGTGATCTTTGAAGAAATTAGCCATTTAAATGAGAAATTAAATATAAGCACCAAATTCCATTTATAAAGAGAGAAAATTTCATCAAAAATGTGACCTATTTTTTATTATAATTTTCTATCTATTTTAATAGTATAACGGTATCAGATTGTGGCTCTCAATGCAAGTTAAGTATAATATAGTATAACATACAATAACCTACATTCCATTGTGTTTATCTTATGTATTCTTGTTTAAAGGGAAATCCAACAATAGCCATGTAAAGGAATCAAGTATGCATTCATAACAAAAAATATAAAATTTTTTATTTGACTAAATAAATTCCGTATTATCAAGAGTTGGTTATGAAATTAACTTCAAATTTGAAGTAGTTCTTCTTAATTTGCAAGATAATACATGTGAAGTCTTTGGTCTACTTGAAACTATTACGTGTTTAGCCTCTAATAACGATCCTTACAACCCTCTTTGTAGAAACCTCTTACATTCGAGATACTTAAACTATATATATGCTAGTTTCCTCCAAGAATAAACTTCTCTAGTTAATTGAGGATGAGAAGCCAAAATGCTATTTTTATTAGCAACAAAATTTGGCCAACTTGGAGAGAGAGAGAGAGAGAGAGAGAGAGAGAGAGAGAGAGAGAGAGAGAGAGAGAGAGAGAGAGAGACGATGTGTCTTCTCTATGGCTAGCCAAACATCTATATTGTTTTTCTTTGAATGGGTTAGATGGTGTGTTTTTTGAGATATTTGCCTAAAAATTATTGCCTAACACTAGTTGTTTTAGAAAGATATTGGTATTTTCAGAATACTCTAATGTGCTTTAAAACATGATGGTAAAACTCCCCCCCCCCTCTATTGCCTATTATTGTCACCTTTTTTCTCCTCATCCCCTTTTCTCCTCCAACCCCTAGCTTTGCCTCCCTTTCCTTTCCTTACCCCTCTTCTCTTTGTTCTCCCCTTCACTTCATCCTTCCTGTGGCGCCCCAACTTCTCCCTAAAGCGACCAAAGGGTATCCGCGGGATGTCTGCCCAACTCTCGCCAGGACTCAAGCAGTTTTCGTTCAAACTTAATGCAAAACTATTCGACAGCACTGAATAAATAAGAAAGTGCGGAAAACTTCCAAACTTAACAATATATATCACGTTTATCCACCCTTACATGAAATTTCCAAAAGTTACATCAATATCCAAAATATACCACATCTGGGTACATCAAATATCCAAATCATATATAAAGTTTCCAAGAGTACAACCAATAAGAGGTCTAACCCAAATTACATTAGAAACCCTAAGCCAGAAGCGCATCAAAAGGGGTTTCTCCAAGTTCATTCCATGTCCATTCCTGTTAAGGAAAACAAATCTACGGGGTGAGCAAAACGCTCGTGAGGCCAAGAACATACATGCAAGCACATAGTCCAAGTAACAAACCCAAATAACAGGTCAATGGATAAGTACAAGTAATTGACAATTCCAATAAAATGTAAACAGAAACAATTCAAGGATATGGTAGCTCTCAGGAGCTAAGTTCCACTTGCTTTGTCAGGGCCATTAGTATACCTTCCCGCGATGACACTCCGTCAACCGGGTTAGTATTTCCAATCTGTAGATTACCACTTACTTCCATCCGTCCACTGTACATACCCCCACCGGGCCCGAACGTCATTTATAAGGCGATATTTCAACGAGTATGCCAAGCAAGATCTCTCCAATAGATCAAACTTATCAATTTTCTCATGGCTCGTCAAGGTTCCCGACCAAACCCATGCCGGCTCGAGTCCAAGGTCTGCCTATGAGTTTGGGCGTCCCCCAGTTAACATTTATAAGTCGAGGAGATTCACTCCAGCGACGTATGCAACCATAGCATACCATTACATTTCATTCAATACATTTTAGTCATTCATTTAAATCATTCATAATTCATTCGTTTCATTTTAATCATGGGTCATTCATTTTAAATAAGAACGAGTGCGGTAAAGTACACACTCGCCTTCATTTTCAAAATCTCCAAACAATTATAACAATTAAGTATGTATCAAGTATTCATACACTTGACACTCACCAAGTAACAAGAGCAAGTAGATTCAATTGAAATTCAAGCGTCCACCGTGGGGTTCTCTGGAAGGTTCTCGTGTGCGCCTGAACAAAATATAATAGACTATCATTTTCAAACCCCTACTATTAAAGGAGATCGTACCATAGTACAATCTTAGAAAGTCTCGTGAAACGAGCCTTATTTATCCTAAATCGAGGCTCTCAAGTGGGGTTTCAAAGTACAGGAGAAATTTAGTTTTCATCTTAGAAATCAAGTATAAAACATTCAAATAGTGTCGAAGGAATAAGGAGTACTCGAAAAACTCCATTTCCTTGAAATTCGGAAAATTTCAGTTTTGACATGATACATTTGAAAAAAATCGTATCTCACGCTTTACAAGTCAAAAATTGGAAAACTTGGTACCGTTGGAAACCTCTTCCAAGGTACTAAAAGTTCATAGAATACTCTCTTCCATGATTCCAGACGGAGAGTATTCAAAAATTGGTTCAAAGTTGCTGTTTTAAACATGAGGACAGCTTTCGGGGTTGGTTTTTTTTTTGCCAACTTTGGAAATTTGGTAAAATTCACCCAATTTGAACTAGCCTTTGAAATTTGGAACTTAATTAGAGTTACAAACAAGGTTTAAAATAAAATAAGCGGAATGAGAATTGAAGTTTCGAGCACCAAGATATGGTAGCTCAAAGTTACCCAAATTTCCTTATTAAATAAGGGTTTTCCAATACCAAGTCATGAACTTTGGAAATTTATTTGAACCATGAAACGGCCTCGGAATAACACCAAAATTAGTAGTATAATACTGCCATATAAGGGTTGTTCCTCTACCAAATTTCATGGAGAAATAAGCACAGAAAGTGGGTTAACAAAACCGTTGAAATTCCAAGAAATTCTAAGGCTAAGCTGCCTTTGAACTTCCGTTTTGCCGTTTCCAAACATTTGGTCAAGGAACATCTCAAACATGGTTCATTCCAGTAGGAAATGTCCAAAATATGTTCAAGGTACATTCGATAGATGATTTACAATAAGAAACTTTGGATAACAATTTCCAAACCGTAGTTAGTTTCAAATCTGTCCAAAACGCTGTTTTTTGTTCACAAAGTCAGTTTTGAATTTCGATCATAAATCACTCAATTCAACTCGGAATTAAGCATGGTTGGTGGGTTAGAAAATAGACTCATAAGGCTATATTTTCTCAGAAGAAACCATTTTCAAAATCTGTCCATAAACAGCTCATTCGTGAGCATCAATTTGCAACTCGTGTGCTGCCTTCCAGGAAGCAACGAAATAGGACAGTGGATTTCAAATGAATGATTTGGCTCACTCAAATGGAACCAGAATGTGCATTTATACCGTTAGAAATCTGGGAATGTCTAGTTTCCAGTGCCACAAACGACACTCGATTTCGACATCGGAGTAAAAAGATATAGCCAAAACAAATACACTGCCTGGGTGAATACGGGATAAATTTCCAGATTGCTAAGCTGTCGTAAATCCAACATTTAGGTGACCAAATCAAGTTATTTTTCAATGAAACTTTTTACACAACTAATATAACATGTAAACAACATAATGAAGCCATTAGAACCTCAAAATTTTGCACAAAAATGGTTGGACAAGGCAGAGGTAAAATGATCACTTTTGCTCCAAGCACCTCCTTTGATTTTCTACCAACAATTCAACATTAATCCACTAATATAAGCACTAAACCACCATTAATTTCATCATCAATCATCAAATCAGTCTTTCCATCAAAGTGGGAGTTCATAGAGCCCACTCACCAATTTTACAACAATTTAAAGCTACCCATGAGAATCCAAAAGCTCATGAGTGTAATCTAACTTCCATAAATCAAGAATTAGGAAGTTGATCGTCTATTACCTCTCTTGATGTGCAAGACAGAAATTTCGGCTCTTCTTAGCTCTAGAAAACCCGTGGATTGCAGCTCCTTTTCTTAACTAGATGAAATCTCCAAGTGTTAAACTAAGTGTGGGTGAAATTTGAAGTGAATTGGAGGAAGTTTGATGAAGATTTGATGAAGGAATTTGAAGAACTCTTAAGCTATTTTTCTTCTTCTTGTTCGGCTGTTAGGAGAGAGAAGAGAGAGGGAAAAATCTGATGGAACTTGCTTCTTGAAGATAGCTTAATGGTTAAGTATTAGGTGCACAAAGTCAACCGCAAATAGTGCGCGTACGGGCGCGTTTTGTGCTCGATTCCTCTTAAATTTGTTACACTAGTGCACTAAACCTATAATGCACTTACATTCATATCATCATTATTCACTCTTAGTAGTCCCAAAGTAAACCTCTAAGATCCTTCAATTAATCGCGCGTGTAAAAA